GGAATGGGTTGACCATCGTCGATTCTGGAGGCTCGCCCGGCTCGTCGTTGGTTTGCCGGCCCTCTTCGGGGCCAAGTTGCGTGCCGGATTCCATCTGCTCGACTTGTTCGATTTCGCGCGCCCACATCTTGCGCTCGGCCCGAGTCCGGAAGGCCTCCATAAGGAGGTCCTCTTTCGGCTTGAACAGGAGGTCGAGCAGCTCGTTGAATCCTTGCTGGGTGACTTGATACAGAATCTCTTTGCCGACATCTCTTTCGACCTCTGGAATCTCGAACCCGCCCCATCGCTCGCCTACCAGGATGCTGCGAGATGAGGTTGACGGGTTGGAGCGCACGTCGTAATCATCGGTGAGATCGTCTTGGAACCGCACCTTGGAGGAGGAGCGAGATCGGGGAGATGGTGGGTGAGAATCGGGCTGAGGCTCGTCGACATCATCTTCGTCCTCATCCTCGCTCAGGCCATCCACGTCCATATCGCTGCGATAACCGGGCGGAGCAGTTGCGCCGTCTTCTTCATCAGTATAGAACCGTCTGCGCTGCCAGCGGTTGTGAATGCCAGTGCTGCGAGTCACGTTAACCCGGATTCGGTCCTGAGCGCACATTCTGTTGTAGACCGCGGTACCGACACGGGCTCGATCGGCTGGGTCAGTGATATCGTTCAAAGGCACATGATATCCAAGCGCGTTCACAATATCGTAGTCGCGGACATGCTCCGGCGGAGGCCACCTGTCGCTGGCACCGGAAGAGTTGGAGGCATCGTCGGGAATATTACTACCATCGTCACCGTTGACTTCTCTTCTAGTGTTGCTTCCTGAAGTATGTGCCACGCCAGATCCGGACGGAGTCGCCAGGCGAGCCGCAGTTGGGAACATGGGTCGCACGCTGCCGTATTGGCTTCGCACTGCAGCGTCTCCCACAACCGAGTGTCGATCTGCGGTATCCGCGCGGTCTGATCGTACGATCCCTTCGTTGTCCACAAGTTCCATGTCGCCGTCCTGATTCATACGCTTACCCTCCCCGGTCCTCGAGGCTTCCCCGGAGGGAATGCTGCCAGGAAAGGCCGAGCTGATCGGTTGACTTCCCAATACAACATCCCGAGCACCGCCCTCCAGAAAGTCGTCTTCCATACCTGCCACCATGTCTCGAGTGAGCTCCCTACTAAGCGCATAGTAGGCCCGGAAAACCCGTAGGAAGTCCTTCCGCTCGATGTAGCCGTCGCCATCAATGTCGTAGCCACGGAATACGCGCCGTAGCCGCTCATCATTGCTCTTATTGTTGAGACTGGCAATACCTTTCAGGAACTCCTCGAACCCAATTAGACCATCGCCGTTGGTATCGTAGAAGGCAAACATGCGGTCGTATATCAGACTAGGGGGCGGTGGCCGGATGGATGTGTTCGGTACAAAACACCGGTCAAACGTCTTTCTATCAATGGCCATGTAGAGCTTGTTTGGATCTTCTTCCCACTCATGGTTGGCCAAGCAGCGGAACTGGTCCCAAAGCGCATCCAATTCGGTATTTTCGAAGCTCGTCTCCTTCATGAGGCGCTTGGCCAAAGACCGGGATAAGCTGCGCGGCAGCATGGTAGGCTTCCCAGGGTACCAGACCGGCTGAGACTGTCGAGGGTTGCCTAGGAATGGCGCCGGTATCCGGACCTTGTAGAACAGGTGTGTCTTGATGTGCACTCCCATCGCTTCGCACGTTTCACACAGATCGTAATCGATGCAGTTTGCGCATCTGTACCGAATACCCTGAATGGGCATGGCGCCGCAGCTATTGCACGTCACGCCGCGATGAATATACCCGTCCCGTCTGGCCTGGTCCTCAGCAATATGATACAACAGGTTAAGCAGATTCTGTCCTTCTCTCGTTGGCGAGGAGTCGTTATTCCCGTCCCTCCACGAGAACACACTCTGATCATCCACCACCGTCTCCCCGCCATCCATATTCGGCACCGGCGGCGACTCTTCGGGAAAGGTCGATGTCGACAAAGTGACCCGCTCGCCGTTCTGTCGCCGCCGCCGTAACTCCTCTCCGTAGTTATTGTCTGCATTGAATCGCATCAAGGCCCTCTCGATTCCGGCCTGCGAGATCCCCCGCCGCTGGAGCTCTACCATTAAGTATTCCCATTCTGGACAGCCTTCTTGTATGAAATGTGTGGGTGGAAAGTCCAGTGCCAAGAAAGATTCCAGAAAAGTGTCTTCCATCATTTCGCGCATCCGCTCCGCATGAGCTTGGGGAACCCCCACTTCCTCCATGAGCTGGTCCCGGGTTGCGAGCAAAGACGGGAGCAGGCCACTTTCCACGCGCCTTCCATCTTCTGTCTCGATGCGAAATGTTCCGTAAACTCCATTCTGGCGCTCCAGTTGCTCCAGGTGCGCGATAGCTCGCGTCGACGGGGTGTCGTCAACGGGATGGTCACTGGCGTTGCTGGCTTCGCTTCTCCGTCGCCGGCGACGGACGGCTCTGCGGCGTCGGAGGGAAGTCCGGAAAGTCGACGGAGGAGAGGAGATGATGTAGTTGTGGATGTAGACGATCGCGTAGGCGGCGGCCACCCCGGAGAGCAGGTAGAGAATCGGGCGGTATCGTGACAGCGCCAGCCGTGGGCGGGTGTCCGACATGGCGGGCGACAAAGGAATGTGACGGTTAGGCCGATAGGATCATTCTTGTGGAATTTCCCTAGGAGTTGCCGGTGGAACTCGGGAGCTGCAGGTGCTGTTGACTTCAAAACCGCGACAGAGTGACTTCGAGGCTGACAGTTTGGGGGTTCCGGGGAAAGTTGGCGGAGCTGCGCAAGCCTAAAAGATCAAGTCCCATCACCGCCTTCCACTGTACGGACTCAACACTACTTCTGCTCACTTCTTACTCGGCGTTGATTTTTCTTCCGATTGAGAATACATCTTGTGACAGACTTCGTTACGTTTAGCTGATTCTAGCGAGAGCACCTGAAAGTTCTCATATTTGCTGACTCAACATGCTATGCCTGGCAATTGAATCCATTCGTAGTAAGAGCTGCGCTAACGTGCATCTGTCAGCATAGCACAATGAAACAGCCATGGATGTATCTTGTTTTGCGGTTAATTCTAAGGGATTGTAATACGAATATTCCCTCATGCAAGCGATGTGACGATAGATTCATTTTTGTTCAAGCTATGATAGTAGATACACCCGAGAACTCATGCATATGTACAACAAACAAAATCCCCAACATCGGTCTAGTATTAGACGTTTCAATGCTTCCTTTACCCAAATCCATTGTCATATGAACCTCGCTTTATCACTGGGTCAAATGATGCCATCTAAGTCATCATATGTATCTCCAACATCTCTTTTGAAATATCCAACAATGGCGCATACAGCCATTATGCAAGTATATAGGTACCCACTCACCAGGATGCAAGTAAACAGCCCCGCAAGCCCATCATCATCTACCCAAGGCCTCTCACCACCAACAGCCAGAGTCCAACCCTAACATATACATAACCTACCTCGACAACTTCCTCTCCCTGATAAAGAAACTACTAAGCAACGCACAAAACACAACTCCGACCAAGAACGCGAACCCCCTATTCGTGGCCCAGCCATAACAGCTACGCACAATCTTCCCAGTAGTCGGATCCAGCGTCTTAATGAAGTCAAGACTTTGACGGACGCCGTCGACGATCTTATCGATGTCTTTGCTGTCACGGAGGGCAAAGTGCAGGCGTTCGCGAAGGAGTTGCTGAACAACTGTTGAGGAGAGGGAGAGGCCGATGACGGAGCCGAGGGAGCGGAAGAGGTAGGAGCAGGCTGTGACGACAGCTTGGTCTTCCGGTGTGGAATTGGAGACTATTAGGGTGAGGTTAGTGAGTCGGGTTGCGGGGTTGGTTGAAAATGAAGATGGGAAGAGGCTTACTGAGACTGATCAAGGTAGAGGTCACGCCGATGCCGTTTCCGAAGGCGCAGGCGACCATGCCTAGTACTAGGATGGTGGTGTTCTCGGTGACCGCGCCAGAGGCCAAGAAGATGGTGGTAAGGCCTATCGTGAGGCCGGTGTAGGCGGCAATGGTGAGCCAGTAGAATTTGCCCGTCCATTTCATGATGTAGCCGGCGAAGAGGGAGCCGCTGACGCCGGAGATAATGCTGGGGAGAAGGCGCACGCCAGCAACGGTGGCGGAGACGCCGTCTACGGCTTGGAAGAAGAGAGGAATGTAGAATAGGGCGGCGAGCCAGCCGCCGAAACTGAAGAAATTACATGCGTATGCGGCGAAGAAGGTCCGGTTGAAAATGATATGGCCGGGGGCGAAGGGTTCGGCCGCGTAGAAGACCTCTATGATGATGAAGAGGGCGAAGAGAGCCGTGGAGACGCTCAGAGAAACGATGGTAATCGGCATTGTCCAGGAGACATTGCTGCCACGGTCCAGACCAAGGAGGAAGCCAAAGACTGCACCGACAAGGACAATGGCGCCGGGGAAGTCGATGCGGCGCAGTTTCGTTTTCCAGTGGCTGTCTTCCTGGGCGGGGAGGTCGAGCATGACAGTCACGGCGATGAAGGCGAGAATGCAGAGGGGGACTTGAGCGATGAAAGCCCTGGGTTATGTCAGAGAGTGGCCGGAAACGAGAGGTTATTGAAGGGGGCATACCATCGCCAGCCGATGAAGTCGGATAAGATACCACCTGCATAATCGGTTAGAGGGGGTTCAAACTGTCGGTATCGATCGAGCGTACCAAGAGGGGCACCTATGCCGGAGCCCGTCGCATAGATGATATTGATCACTCCCTGCCAAACGCCCCGGTCTCGGAGGGGAACAATATCGCTCATCAGGATACTCACGACGGTGGTCATACCGCCGCCACCGATACCTTGGAAAACCTGACCACATCGTTAATTACATCTTCGAAGCGAAGAAAACAGATCAACGTACGCGTGCAGCGATGAGCTGATCAATGTTCTGCGCAAGACCGCAGAACAAGCAACCGATGCCGAAGATGGCATATGCGAATAAGAGACATGCTTTGCGACCGAAGATGTCACTCAATTTGCCGTACAGCGGCTGAAACGACGTCAGGGTCAGAAAGTAGGAGGTGGCGATCCAGCTGGTCAGATTGAGGGCCTCCAAGTCACTGCCGATCTGCCCATAACTGGCCATAATGATGGTCTGGTCGGCTGCGGAGAGGAATACCTGGGCGGCATGTTAGTATTACCGAGGAATTTCCGATGCGCAACAAGATGGGGAATCACATACTCCCAAAGAGATAGCCGGAATGATATACCTCAGGCCCTTCCCCGCCTCGGAAGCATCCTTGGCTTGCTCCCCCTGGGGCGGCACAGTCTGCTCGCCAGACTCGACATCCTGACGGCCAATGTTGGGGATAGCCCCCGTGGTAGAGACATTGCTTTGGGGACCCAGCAACGGAGAGGTCTCGGAAGGAATCCTTTTTGGAGACATGGTGGGGGAAAGGCTCTAGAAAAGGGCAATCTCCATTACCAGGGGGGCCAGGGAGTCGACACAAAAGTCGAGAAGGTGGAGAAGGAGGAGGAGGGGAGGATAAAGCAAGGGAAGAGTCACCGATTGACAGAGGAAGAAGGACGAATAAGTAATACTCACTAAAAGGACTCACTAACTAGACTTCCACTAGTTGGGGATGATGGGCCCCTGCACTCTTGTCACGTGGAGATAAGCCTACTATTTTCCCCACTTGCGGAATTGCCGTCAGAGTCCGTCTTGATTGGCTTCATCGGCAACACAACTGCCAATTCTCGCTCGGCCGAGGCTGGACATTCGAGGGATCACCATCATCAACGTTTTTACAAGCATGAACCAGCGTAGGTGAGTGAGTCACTGTAGGGTTGTTGATTATGACTCATCCGGAGAGGCTTGCTAATAAGACGCAGTGGAGAGATTCCTCGATACGGAGACGGGTCCGCCCGCCGCGATGGCGATGGACTGTTCTCGGATATCGCAATCGCAACTCTATCGTGGGCTATCTTTTCCGATCCGGCCGCGATCCGGCCGCGTACGTGATGCGAACTACGCATTCTCGTGACGATGCCAGTAATAACTTGGCTTATTTGTTACACTTCACTCTTGCTGGAAAGTAAACTAAACTTCGACAACGCAATGCCAGACACCAAAAGACACAAACATGGATATGGTTATGGTCCACTCCCATACACTAAGGATATCTTCAACGACGAACAAAGACAGCGGCATGAGAATCTCTTAGAACACCCCAAAACAGTGCCAGTATAGCACGCATCACACCCAGCTCTCGTAATCATAAACGCTCTATCTCGTTACGCTACCTGCATGCAATAATACTTGAAACTCATGCTGCCGCAGCAGCCGGGATGGGTACCGGCCCACCGGGCGAGTCGGGGAAGCGCGCGGTCAGCACCTCAACACCGTCCTCCGTAACCAAAAGAGTGTGCTCAAACTGGGCGGAGATGCCACCATCGGCTGTGGAGCTGGTCCAGTCGTCGGGCCAGGTACGATCGCGGTGGGTGCCCTGGTTGATCATAGGCTCGATCGTGAAGCACATACCGGGCTTGGCAACACCAACGGCCTTGTTCTTCGCGTAGTGAGGAACGTTAGGAGCGCAGTGGAACAGCTGGTTGATGCCGTGACCGCAGTAGCTCTTGACCACACTACAGTCCCGGGACTTGGCGTGCTTCTCAATGACATTGCCAGGGTCGCGGAACAGCATGCCCGGCTTCACCAGCTCAATGGACTTGTCCAAGCACTCACGTGCCGTCTCCACCACGCGCACCGCATCAGGGTTGGCCTTGGCCTTGTCACCGACATAGTAGGTCTCGTTGATGTCTCCGTGGAAACCGTTGTGGTACAGCGTAACGTCAATGTTGACAATGTCGCCGTCCTCGAGGGGGCGCTGATCGGGGATACCGTGGCAGATAATCTCGTTGATGGACGTGCAGACCGACTTGGGGAAGTTGTAGTAGTTGAGGGGGGAGGGGTACGACTGTAACCAATCGCATCAGCACCAAACCAAGCCACCATTAAACATCAGAACCACTCACTTCACGCTCGAGACAAGCCTTGTGAACCACCTCATCAATGTAATCGGTCGTAACACCGGGCTTCAACTCCCGGGCAGCGATATCCAAGACCTCACGGGCAAGGCGGCACACCTTGCGCATGCCCTCCTGTTCCTCCTTACTCAGGATCTTGATGTTGTTGCGGCCGACGAACTTCTGCTCGGAACGAGGAATGCCATCCTTGGCGTAGTCGGGGTGGGGGATGGTCTTGGGGACGGTTCGCGGAGCCGACAGCGGGTAGACAGGGCGCAGGTTGCCGGCGAACTGGAACGCGGGGAAGGGGTTGTACAAGCCGGTTGCTGGATCTGGTTCAGAAACTACCTTAGGAGTGAAGAGGTTGGCCAGGAAATTACTCTTCTTGTGAATAGTCTTGTGTTCGCTCTGCATCGGACCGGTTAGCATTCGCAGATCACCGTGAAAAGCGTTCAAACCCACGTGAGCCTGATGGGTCACGTAAGGTAGCCTACCCAACTCCGTTTGAAACAGTCCTGCGAGCAGAAGAAGCTGTCCGTGCCTGCCTTGAGGCATGTCGGACACTGCAACGTGCCTGCGTTCTTGTCACAGTCCACCCCCATGCATTTCCGCGTTGCGACTTCCGCCATTTTAGAACGAGCGATTTCGCGAGTATAAGAGAATCAGGTAAATGTCTGCTAGGAGAGGAAAAAATAAAGGAAAACGTTCGCCGGAGGAATTATAAGTTGAGCTAGAAGGGAAAAAATGGGACAATCCCCCGCGGATGGGCCTGGCGTGGCGTGGCGCTTATCCGCCCGGCCAATTCCAGGCACTTCATTCCCGCATTAGGTTAGTGTGGTCTATCTACCCTTAGCCTAATTTAGACTAGTGTATCCGGTCTTACCCTAAAGTAAGCGCCAACAGGCGCGCGTAACCGGCGTCAAGGGTCCCAAATGGAATATGCTCGTTGGTCAATCAGCCCCGGATGCTTATCGGCGAGAGCGGCTAGAACGAACTCCTGTTGGCCGTAAAAATGTTCCACAGACCCACCGCCATATGGAAGAAGAAAGGAATGCGTGTGACGCAGCTGTCAGTTGTCTTTGCAATATCAGATAAAGCTCGGCCGATCTGCAGTTGTTTATACTACGCAGACTTGGAAACATCCTCAAGAATCAGAAATTCACATAAAGTGATCAGGTAGACTCTCGATCACGGACTCCGGTCAACATGGCGGAACCATCTGCTGGACGACAAAAAGTGGTCATCGTGGGTGCTGGCCCGGTGGGGTCCCTGGCGGCTCTCTACGCTGCTGCTAGAGGTGACGATGTTGAAATGTACGAGCTTCGCGGAGGTTAGTCGCTATAAGCTGCCAGGCTATTCTGGAAATCTTGATCCCCTTGTCATCAGACAGGTTTTGATGACTCTATCATCATCTACCCCGCATCATCCTGATGACTCGATCTACTATCATGAATGGGGCCATTCTCACACTACATGTTGATTTGCAGATCTGCGTGATCCAAACACCATTCCTCTGAACTTCACCAAGTCCATCAACCTCGCCCTGTCTGAACGGGGTATCACCGCCATGCGGCAGGCCAATCGAGAGGAACTCATCGACCGCGTCCTCGCCGACGCCATCCCCATGCACGGACGTATGATTCACGGCCGAAGCGACGGCAAGCTCTGGGAAGCTGCACAAACCTATGACGTCCACGGCCGGGTATGCCTTCACACCTCTCACTTACTCCCAAATAGTGATAAACCTCATCTAACTCGCTCTTAGGCCATCAATGCCGTCGACCGCGGCACTCTCAACAATGCCCTCCTGGATGAATTGTCGCGCACGCCAAACGTCAAGATGTTCTTCAACCACAAGCTCACCGGTGCCGACTTCCGCACCAACCGTGCCTGGCTCGAACGCCGCACCCCAGGCACCGCTTCCACTCCGGAATCAGTGACCGAGATTGAAATTACCTTCGACTACCTCATCGGTGCTGACGGCGCCCACTCCGCCTCCCGCTATCACATGATGAAGTTCGCCCGAGTAGACTATCAGCAAGAATACATCGACGCGCTTTGGTGCGAATTCCGCATTCCTCCGTCCCCGGAAACAGGAGACTTCCAGATCTCTCCCAACCATCTACACATCTGGCCGGGCAAGGAATTCATGTTCATTGCGCTCCCTTCAGCTGATAAATCCTTCACGTGCACGTTATTCGCACCAGCCTGGCACTATGAGAAACTGGAAAAGAGCTCACCGCAAGATCTGGTGACCTCCTTCGATTACAACTTTCCCGGCGTGTGTCCCAACCTGATTACGCCTGAAGCTCTGGCCGAGCAATTCACCGAGAACCCTCATCTCCCTCTCATCAGTCTGAAATGTAAACCACACCACTTCGGCTCCAGTGTAGTAATAGTCGGCGATGCCGCGCACGCCGTCCTGCCATTCTATGGACAGGGACTGAACGCCGGTCTTGAGGATATTCCTGTTCTCTTTTCTTTCATGGACCAGTATGGCGTGTATGATGATTCCATCAGTCCCACCCCTGAAGCCCGCGCCTCTGCCCGTGCCGCAGCATTGCAAGCATACACCAACCAACGCACAGCCGATACATGGGCGATCAATGACCTGTCTAAGCAAAATTATCTTGAGATGCGCTGGGGCGTCAAGAGTCCGGTTTATAAGCTGCGCAAGATGGTGGAGGAGACGTTGGATCATTATGTGCCGAGTCTGGGATGGCAGACACAGTATTCTCGGGTGAGTTTCAGTAATCAGAGGTATTCCGAGGTGATCGCGTCTGTGAAGAGACAGGGGAAGTTGCTAGGTGTCGCTGGGCTGAGCTCGGTACTGGTGTCGGTGATGATTGGAGCTGGGGTGTTGATGAGGTGGCCGGAGAGGTTGTCATTGGGAGCTGTGTGGAGGACAGTGTTTGGAAGAAATTGAGGGAATTGTAAGTATTTCTCTTTTCTGAGATTGTTGTTATGCGTTATAAAACAGCGTGTGTAAGTATAGTTGATGTTTTTGCCGCAAGTCCCTGCTTCATGCAATCATAGAATGACGCCAAAAGCACGTAAATAAAATACTATCAGCTTGACTGATTAGATAGTGTCATATGAACCTTGTCCTCCAATCTTTGATTATGATCAAATTCACTTCAAAACACAGTTACCAACCCCACACCTTCATCTCCCAAAATGACCCACTAAGCCAGCTTCCATACGAGCTCCTCTGCCTAATCATCGACTACACAGCAGACTGGATCACCTCGTAAGTCTCATACGGATCTCCCTACCACTACACAGCCTCTTCACCACCCCATCAACTCCCAGCACCTCACTAAAGACACAGTCACGAGGATCAGCACGAACATCATCAAAAGCCCACCCCGAAGCCATCCGCCTCGTCGAAACTGTCCTCGAAAACATACCCCATCATGTCCCTTCAACTCCGCCGCCACTTCCGCATAATCACCAAACTACGCCAGTTCTCTTCACAACCAGCTGTCAGTAGCACCATTTGTTTCACTACACTTCTAACAGGAAGAGACGATTCCTCCCCCTCCTCATATCTACTACCAACCCACACCACCGTACGAGCTGCACGATGTGGGACCTTCTTCATGGTTCGAGGAGTATCGCGTTTACCGTACGTTGTGGTATCTACAGTTGAGACATGAGGTAGTATGTGTCGGTTAGAAGCTGGGGATGTTCATTAAGACTGAACTTAAACGTATGAGGGATGATTATATGGGCTTAGATGATGATGATGTGGCGGTGTTGATGTGGATTGATGTCGCTGAGGGCGAGATACGTACTGATCTTGAGTTGTTGGAAGGGTTGGTTGGGATTTGGGGGTTTGTGGAGGGGTGGATTGTATACAATAGTACTAGGGAAGGGGGAGGGGGAGAGGGAATGGCGTGAGTACTAGTAGATGGGGGTGATGGGGTAGGTTGGTACTATTTAGTGGAACCAAAATAGTAGAAGATTCATGAGATAGGTTGGGTGAGCCTGCTGCTAGTGCATTGGATTGATGGTAACAGCTACAGCTCGAATGAAGATACTAAGTATGGTTATATGTGTTCGGTTGGGAGGAACTGAGTAAACCAAGTTAAAGGTACTAGTACTTCATGACCTAGGAATCCATTTCATGACACGAGGATGATGTGATTAGATAAGAATTGATGGGTATCCATTCCAGTAACCATATTAAGATATTTTGGTAGTTTGGATATGTTAGTACGATTGAAAGAAGATACTCCTAGAACATTGTGCTCTAGTGTAACAGTTAGTACAGTTATGTGACAGACCTGACTAATTGACACATACTAACTACTAAATACTTATTAGGCTAGGAAAGTTACTCCAGACTGAAGGCCAGTGACCGTTGGCTGCTCTTAAAATTCACTCCGGGCTAACGCATTTCTTTCTCTGTTGTCCCACTCTCGTGGCCTACCGGTGAGCTTCAAGCATCAATGTGCCGATGCTTCAAGCAGACGGAGATTCTCCCAGTTTTCGCGGTTTTTTCTTTGGTAACGTTGTATTGCATACGTTTTGGAGAGAGCTGTCAAATGGCACGCCAAGTATGATGGGCTCTTTGGAGGAGATTATGGTTAGCGTTGTATCTGGTTCGTTAGTGATGGTAGTAAGAGAGATAGCTGCTTGGCAGATGCAAGACTATCTTGACTGAGGTATAGGTTGCTGGAGCAGCACTAGGGGTAATTTGGACCCCTATACCCAGGAGTCCCCTTCTGGTCCATCTTTCCTCTCTGGACAAACATGGGGTTGGCAGACTAGTACTGATCCTGTCGCCTCATTTCTTTCCGCCTCGATTTCCTCCACAAACGCTTTTATGGCTCTATGGTGTGAAAATAACACTGTAATCCCGCTTCATAGAGTCCAGAAAGTACTTGTATATGTCCCTGATAAAGACACAAAGTCTGGCTGCTGACAACGCTTTATCAGTGCTAGTGGACAATTCAAATGTGGACCAAGCACTGAGCCAGCGTAGATTTTCAAAGTATTCGGCCTGAAATGCCAACAGAACGCAACAAACATGACATTCCAACAGCCATGTAACCTCTAGATCAACGAAAGTTGACCGCAATGCAAAAACAAATAGCCACCCACATCAGCCAATCTAGGCTGTACAACATGATATTGAATGAGAAACATAATGAATAGACAAATCTTCAACCCAAACCAAGGCATAAGGTTCAAAACATATAACGGAACCGAAAGTATAATCTAAAGCCGAAAGGTAATCTGATGTTGGAAATCCAAACAACATAGAAAATGAGACAAATAAACCCGAGTAACACACGAGAAACCTCCATAACGGCATAAAAGAAGCCCTAATATCACCATGGCATACTTCATCATCGTCCAATCAAAGGGGATCTATAGAACCAAATTTGTTTAAATTCTCGGCAGGTCATAGCCTGAGATCATCGAATCGGCCAATCCGGTAATACTGGGGAATCCAAATCCAGGGGCCATATGTGGGACGCTTGGACAAAAGTCAATCCATCCGTAAGGGTAAGGCAAAGGTCCGCAGTTCCGCTTAAACAATGGACGGGTAATCCGGATATTCCACGGGCACTGTGTTTGTTCTCCTTGGGAAGTCTCCTTCCTGGGAACGACCGTCCAGAGGGTGCGGAGGGGGTAAACCACAAAAACAGGAGCATGGCGGTATTCTGCGCTTGGTCCATGGGAAGGCAGGATCGTGTGGCCATAACTCAAATCATCATCATAATTTAGGCAAAGGCTGGCAACCACCCTAGTTCATGGGCTGGCAAATTTCACTCGACGGCTGCGTCGATCATGGATGCGTTTTTCTGTATCAAGATAGAGGCGGTCAAGGAATTCCATGGCATTAGCATCCTTAAGGATCTTGGCCACCTGTGTGCCAGCTGAGATAAGCTGAAGGACATTCCGATCATCCTTGATGGGCCGAGACTGATGCTTGGCTGCATGTCTCATCTCCAGGGAATTTTCCAGCACGGTCACTAACTGCTTGATCTGGCCATTATACAACACCCGGGCTGGGATGCGACGCTTGGTCGCCAGTCTCTTTAGGAGATATACCCACTCGGTCCACTCGCGGTCAGAAGGAACTCTCACCGGCCTCTTGTCCGGTTCCAGTGGAATCGGAAATTGATACTTTGCAACAAAGTCAAATGCGCACTGTGACAGTCGGTCATTTACTGACGTCAGAATTTGATCTTGCTCTGAGACATCAAGATTAGTAGGTAGATGAGGCAAATCCCTCCCTTGGGCTGCTATGACCCGCGGTGACGGAGGGTCTAGCAACTGGTGGGGTCCGTCAAACTCGTCGCGATTAGACGGCCGTCTTTGCGAGTGATACCGAGTAGCGCCTTTAGGCTTCTCCGTTGCGCGTCGGCTGTTTCTTTCAATCAGGTACTCCGACGTCTCGTAAGGTCTGACTAGGTCGTAATCACGCCTGAGCGACTCCGCTGGGAGGCGAGCAGGGTGGTCCCACTCTGGGTAGAGAGCTGTGGGGCGTGGCAAGGCACCTCCTGCAGACACGGGAATTGTTCCCAATGCATGTGAGGTCACTGGAAGTCCGCTGTATGGCATGGCGAAGTCCGATGAAACTGGCTTGTTGGGCTTGACAGGAACCTGAGTATCTATAGGTCCACGCTCAATATGCGGAGGGGAGAACCTTCTAGCGCTAAGAATGAGTAACATGAGAGTCTCAGCATGATAGATTCTGCAAAGGAAGGAAGCAAAGTCGATACAAGATAGTGACAAGGTACCTTGGATGGTAGATCACGGGCGCCTCGCCCGAAGTCCCGTATACGGACGGTTGTTGGGGCATGATGCCACTGTATAAGGTGAGCTTCCCCCGACGACACCACCAAGAGGAGTTTAACGAGAATATTGCGTTGGGGCTAACCTGTGGCGGGACCACGAATCATCACTGCTGATGGAATGTGTGCAGGAGCCGCTGCTCCCGGATGCTCTTGAGAAGTAACTGAGGCCTGAAGACATTGCGATCAATGAGGGTGAAAGGACCGTGGACATGAGGCTGATGATTTATATAGAAGAATGAACGGGTATACACGATGGCGAGGTATCCTCAGCCTGTTCAGTCCAGACCTTTCAGAATGGTGCCTGACAGCGAGTAGAACGGGGCGTTTATTATAGTAAAGTAGCAGATAATGTGGGCAAAAAAAATAAAATAAGAGGGTGGACGGTCCACGGCACCAGATAAGCTTTTAATTTCAAAGGCCGCGTGAGATATGGCAAGCCGGAAGGGATATGAAGAACTCCACTATAAGTGGCAAGAGGACTGGTTTGCTCAAGGCCGGGCTCCGCTCATGTCAGGGAGCAAGCGCGTGCCGGAAGACACCTCGTACTATACGGAAAACAACAAATCCATCTTGCTTTCAGGGCCAATCGAGTCAGGTCTCCATTGTGCCTCGCCGACAGGGTTGAGGGGGATCGATTGAGCCAGAGAGGTCCGGGAGAACAAGGGACGATGAAAAGCAATAAGATAGTCCGCCGGCGCAGCAGCCAGACAATAATTCCCGGAGCTAGACGCCCTGCCAGTCTTCCGTGCAATCAGTGGAGCTGCACCAGGCATACTGGGGTACATAGCCATGGATGGACCCGGCAGTAAATCGCAGCGAGACTCCACCAGCGGGACATGGCCAACTTCTGTATGCTGATCTTGCCCTCAATCACGCATGTCAGGAAAGGGAATGAGGAGTCGAAGGATCCGGTGCTGCATAGGGTTTTGGGCAGCAACCGCCAGACTCGGCAGGGAACTTGCGTCCGCTGGGCATAAGGACGAGACCATTACATACTATTCACGGCCTTGGCCCAATTGCCAGTCAGTCCATTTGTTGATGGAACAGTGCGGGTAAGGGGCTTTTTTTGGGAGGGGGGAAGTTAATGGGAATAAAGTTACTGGGCACCGTGTCAATGGTCCCATGCTCTCCACCCACATCGACTGGGCCTTGGTTGGGATCCAATTGTGGACAGGGACGAAGAAGAGAACAAGACCAAGGACGATGATGAAGCGGAGGTTGCAGTGGAAAAGAGAAGCAAACTGCGAATCACGGGGCGGACGGCGGGGACAGGCCTGGGTGCCTGAGTCCACTGGTCGAGGGCCAAAATAGACCCGATCTTCGTTTCCCCATCGGGATTCTGCTACCGCATCTACCGTCATTATTTACTCCACTCCAGATCGTTCTTTTGGCTATGCGCATATCGTTGTACTCAATGGTGCTGGTGAACCGCGCGATAATCTGGCGCTTGTACGGTCATCTCAAGCTCCAACTGGTAGGCATCTAGCCCTTGTCTATCTACGGATCCACCCCCACTGTCGAGGACGAGCTACTCACATTTGTTCTACGGCTGCCTATTCTGGAGGGAAGGACCCAGTTCAACCCAACTACCACAGAAATTTTGTGTATATATTGTGAAGTGGATCGGGGGCACGCACCATGGTCAAGGACGGATGGCGGCCTAAAATCGAGAATCCACAGGGCGGGGAGCTTCAGGTTCCGGGCCTGAAATGTCACTGTCCCTCGATGAGTTGGGCACACATAGCTGCATGATCTGTCGCCCAAACTCAGGGCGTCCGTATCAGCCAATACTCCTTTCCCGACGCTGACTCGATGGAACTACTTCTTCGTACGAGGTCTCTGACATGCAAACAGCATTCGAACGAATGGTGGACTATGAACAATGAAACTTACCACCCCGATCTACTGAGGGGATCCTTGGCTATTTGCCCATATCTCGGGTACATTAAGTGACCCCATCTGGGCAAATAATGTACCGAGGCAAATAGGGGGAAACCTTGGACAGGAAGAATCCAGAAGACAGAGCAACCAGGGTCTCCTCTCATGGATCAAACCGATTACTCGATTAGATTGATCCAGCACAAGCTGTGAGACATTGCCGGGTTGCGTATGGCGTACATCATTGCGACCCAACGGAAAGTCGCTGAGGTAACCTCCCCAGTAAAGAGTGTGGATGATTCGTGGCGTCTGATATTGCTTCGAAGCTCACCCGATATTATCTCGGCAGACACAAACGCCTGGGGTGTCCTACCCTACCCACCGTGGTTTCACAATCCTACCAGACCATGCCTCCTTCGTCTTGACCAGCATTCCTGCTAGTTATGCCGTTGGTAAATCGACGATAGATTAATGGGTCATGGTGATCTCAAGTCAAGATCCGGACAGCCCGGAGATAACATCGCTGGCTCAATCCAAGCCCACTGCGCATCGGACTTGGTTCAAATTCTATGACTAACTTTTAGAAAGACTGACATCCTACCATTGCACGGTTAGGTGTTGGCAATGGCAGCAGTGTCCACGCACCAACAGGAAAGTATAAACTGAGAATCGCCATTGAATCGGCTACTAAACGGGGATTGTAGGAGTCCTAACAGGAACAACATATTCCGTACTCGTCAATATTGCATGCCGAACCTGTTGCTTATATCAGCGCCGCCACGACAGCTGAGCCATGCGTAAGGCAGCTTCATTACCCCATACCACTAATTCGATGAACCGCCAAAGCGAGACAACCGCCGCAAAAGAGACCATGGAAAGGAGCTCACATGCACATGGATAACAGAACATTGTCAGCAGACACTACTAGATGCAATCAGCACGATCTACTGGATCGGGCAGGTCGGTGTAAAGACGCTGCAGCATACCATGATAATCGGACGGTCTGATTCAAGGTGCTCGCAAGCGGAGCAGTATGCCGTCGGACACTACCGGGTGGTTCTGTATGTTGATAGATGACCTGGCCTGCTGCAACTTGTTGAGAGCATCAGAGTAGTTTGTAGAGGGGTCGATCCTTGTAGACTTGCACCGTCGAAACCTTGCCTGGATACGAGAAGGTCGTCCCAAGTCAATCACCGAGTTTTAATCCCGGTGGCTTGGCTTGTCGTTGAGTCGTTGAGTTATATTTAAATGGAAATCCCAGTAAACAAAAGGCCATACTAGCAAGATGAACATCACATGCAACTAGATCCACCACCTACAATGGCCATCAGCAGTCCATAGTCACTAGTAGCCGGCACCAAAAGATAAGAAAAACAGGCCTTCAAAATGGTAAATCGTACATGAAGTCACCTAGTTACTATACAAGGTATCCATCCCAAAGTCGCGACATAAAACATACAAAGCATGGGATGAGACACAGCTCGACTGACCAAACTCCGCTATAAATGCAAAACCACAAGAATCAAAAGTAATCCATCTATCTTCCAGCCTCCCCGGTGTAGGTTCTTAGCGAACACGGCACAAGACCAACCCACCCAGCTTCTTCTCCACACATTCCCTAGCTTCCAAGATACCCCGGTCCGTAGAGATATACAAGCTCTCTCCAGGCGAGCGAATACCCTCAACAGTGTTATCCCGCTCACCGCGGATTACCCGACGCAGACCAGCCACATCAATCGTCACTCGTCGTGTCGGCTTGCTGACCAGGCTCAACTTGCCCAGCACGGGCTCGCTCTGCCAGTACTTCAGGCCAAGCCAGAGTCGTCGGGTAGCGATGTTGCTTTGAGTCAGGGGTTCGATACCTTCGACCTCATCGATGGGGTTCGGGTTGCCGAGGATAGGGTGTACAGGGGGAGGAGTCGGGCCTCCGCGGACGACGGAGGAGATGTAGCCGTCGTTTTGGAGCGCGAGGGCGAGTTTCAGGTGGAGCTTGGAATGGGGAATGGAGGTGAGGCCTAGACGGGCCTTGCAGGCATTGTTCAGGTGCGAGCAGACGTGGGCGAGGTTGACGAGAGACATTTTGAGAGGAGGTTTGGCCCGGGGGCCTGTGGTGTGCGGAGGACGGGATAAAGTGACTGGGTCGGAGTAAGCAATCTTGCGCGATGACTGGAACGGGCGGAGGGGTAGCTGTACCTGTTGCGGCGGGCGCGGAGGGATAATTAGAGAATAGTCGAATCTCTATCGATTCAATCTAGAACAGCAGCAGCAATGGTCGGATTTGAGGTCCCGCTGGCAGACAATCCCCGATGATGCGGAAGCTCAGATGAAATTTTCGGAGTAACGTAATTGCGGCGCCGACATGGCTTCCTGCCTCAGGCAGCAATGTTTCTTGTGACATCTCCGGCGGCAACGAATCAGCAGCCAGAAGCTCTCTCAGCCGCTCTGTAGCCGCCGGGCTTCTGCATCACGCTGCATCGCTGCATCTTACAGGCCGGTGTGAATTCCCCTCTTGTCCAGGTATAAATCATGGCGCTGTCTTCCCCCCTCAATTCCCGCATCGCGCGGAACTCTTCTTCTTTTCTTCTCTTCTTCAACACGCCCGGGTGGCCTTATCGACGTTGATCGCCTATTATGCCTCCGTTATCGGGTGAAGAGCGTATACTTACCGTGTGAGTAGCGCTACCCCGCAGATCTCTCAGCAGCTGCAGCTGTATCACACCTGGTTGCTTGGAGTTTGCTAACCGCCGTGTAGCTTTGCGGATATCCATTATTACTTTGCAGCGCCATGCCCGAAGCCCCTCCATCACCGGTTTGATAAGGGCTGCTATCTATACCTTTATCTCAACAGCGCTCTGCAGAAGGTTAGAATAGAGGTCGCGAACAACCCAGGAACTCCGGAGCAGGATGCCTTCAATGGCGGTTAGTAGTTACCTCTCTCATCGTGCTGGCTCATTGCTAAATGCCTGTAGCTCTGGATAACATCCATCTCCGACATTCGACTAAATTCCCGACTCTCTGCACTGTGACCGTGGACGGACAGGTGCCGAGTCCACCCCCAGGCCAACCGGCGTTTCCACCGCCCCCAGGCGCCATTTCAAGCGAATGGCAACTGCCTGGTAACGACTCGCCGGCCCTGTTCCGCCTGCACACACTAGATATTTATTTTTGGACGACGGAGGACGTCAATCAGTTCCTAGATCTGATCGAGCGGCACCTCTCGCAGTCGCAGATCGAGACAGACCGACACCCCTTCCCACCTCCGCCCCAGAGCACCGTCAGTTCTGTCGTACAGCAACTGGAAAATGTAGCGATCACCGATCCTGGCTATCAGAATGGACAGACTCGCAATTCTCAAGCCGAGGTCGTGTCTAATCCCGTGCCTAGCTACCAAGCCATTACACCACCAAGCAACCTCCCTCCTCCCCCTCCACTGGGCGGCTTAGCTACGACTGCCCAGCCAGTCATGCCTGGAATCCAGACCGTAGCCAGCGAACAACAGGATAATGCTCCGCCGGAACCAACTCCCGCCCCTCTACCTTACAATCCCGCTGCACCCCCGGCACCAGAGCCAATTAGACACCGAGAGAAGACCCCTCCCCCAGACGACGCAGAGACGGGGACCGGCCTTGCTGCAGCTGCAGCTGCAGCTGTCGACAATGGCCTTGCTTATCCTCAATCTTCCCAAATGCCCCAGGGGTTAGCAGCTACAGCAACAGCACCATCAGCAACAAGAGGTCTATCTGCCCCTCCACCTCCACCAGGGCCCGCCCCGCCCTACAGCATGCCTGGAAACTACGTGCCTCCTGGACCCCCGAGTGCTGGCCTCTCCTCGTTCCCAACCTCCCTACCTAGCCCAGGTCTACCCTCCTATTCTGCCTCGTTCCTATCAGGCGAGAGCCTCAGCCATCCCATGGGGACAAACCAGTCACTACCAGGGCCACCACAGCAGCAGCAGCCGCAACAACAGATGTCCTTCGCCCCTCCTCCCACTGATCCTAATGCGCACCTCTATGGCGGAGCAGGAGCAGGAGCAGGGCCGACTCCCGGCATATACAGAACGTCAACCGACTCATCATCGACATCTACCCCACCGATGCAGCTCTCGCTAGGTGGTTACTCGAACTACTCGTACGAGCAGCCGGGGACGAAGCGCAGCGCCACGGTATCAGGGAACGAGTATAACGTTCATAACCAATTGTATCAGCCGACGGCACAGGAGTCAATCTCACCTCATCAGAAGTATGCCAAAGAGGCGATGGTGAAGCCGGGGGATCCGCATCGGCCGCAGTATTTTGTGAAGAGTGCGTATAAGGTGGAGCATGGGGTGAATCGCTTTTTGAAGAAGTTGGAGAAGAGGCTGTAGCCACCCCTGGAACGAACTTGAGATTCTAATCCTTGTGATATTATGGTTAAGGGTCTGTTCATGCCGGAGTTTAGCATGCTTCTACATAGTATAACATCTGTTTACACGTTCCAATTTAACAGCGATTAATTCCATTCCATATACGTTCACTTCATCTATTTATATCCTCAATCGACGCATACCACAACATACAATCACTTAACAAAGAGGAGATTGTCATTGCCCATAACCTTACTACCTTTAACTTCACATCCACACCCGCAATCCTAGCATAATACAACAATTAATCCCTAACAAACGGATCCACATCCCCCTCCCTCCACCTCCTAAACTCCAACACCCTCTCCACCCCGGCCGCGACCTCCTCACCCCAGATACTCTCCACCCAAGCAAACATCAAATCAACACCGGCACTCACCCCAGCCGAACTCCACACCTCAGTCCCCTTCCCATCCCCCCCAACATCACTCCTATCAACAACCCACCTCGCCTCCTTCACCCACTGCACCCCCGGCGCATCCCTCACCACGCCCTCCCAATCATTCTTATTCGTAGTCGCCCTCTTCCCATCCAGAACCCCCGCCCTCGCAGCCAACTTCCCACCCGTGCACACAGTCAACAGGTACTTAAGAGTAGGGTAGACAGTCCGAATATACTCTGTGTATTCGGGGAGCGGGGCGCGAGTACCCCAACCCCCGGGGATTATGAGGACGTCGAGAGGGGGCGAGGAGGAGAGAGTGGCTGTAGGCAGGATGGATTGGGATAGGGCATGCGGGAAATTGGGAGGCAGGGTTGAAATGGGGGAGAGGGTGGTGGAGAGGAGGGAGAGGGTGACGGGGGGAGTGGTGGTTGGGGACCAGGAGAGGACGTTGAGAACGTCGAGGGGGCCAAAGACGTCGAGGGCTTGGAAGCCAGGGAAGAGGAGGACGCCGATGCGGAGGGGGGAAGGGGTAGAGGAGTCTGAGATGGTGGGTGTTAGTTAGTGTCAATGGGATGGAGGTGGAGGTGGATGGGGGGGGAGCGGGGAAGGGGAGTATGAAGTACCTGTCATCGTTGGGAGATTATGTGTAGTTGTGATGGTGGTAAGGATGTGTGAATGGCGGTAGTAATTGTGAGAGAGATGGGATCAGATGAGTGGGTGGTAGAGAGGGTAGATGATGGGTTATATATACTACTGATGCTCATTGTTTCTGGTGTTGTAATTGCCTACTACTATAGATGATTCAGTCTAGAACCCACAAGTACAGGCACGTGCTATGTCATGCCGTGAGTCACGGCGAATGCCACTCTGACCTCAGCATTCGATAGTGAGCATGTTCTTTCACCGGGTTCTCCATAGATACTAGCGAACTACTTACTGTGTGTACAGATTAGAAATCCTCTCCGAGCTGAATGCTTACTTTGTGGCCTGATAATGATGCTATCCATCACATGGTGAGTTGATTTTGACCGAAGCGGATTGGATTGGGTTTTGGGGTCAACCAAGGTAGGTTAGTTACCTGAGGGTGGAGGGAATAGAATTATCCTTCAGGGACGAAGGATGCATACTAGGACTAATTGGTTGTCGATTTGTCAGGCAAAGGGCGTAGTATGCAGGCGAGCGCATTATTAGTAAATATGTGCTCGTTGTTCTCCCAAGGTATAAGCTGTGCGGTCCAGAGCACTGTGAGGGAAATGGTGAATAGGTGTTGCAGCTGTAGCTGGTTCTGAGTTGGTTATTAGTTTGCTCATGAAGGGTTGAAAATGATATAGGTAAGTTATGCTACTGCGTGACTACTGGGATGTAATGCAAAGATTAACAAAACTATTCATTTACTGAATACCAATAATTTACACCAAAGCATAAAATAATCAAGGATAAGAATATGCCAGAGGACCCAGTACTATGCAAGATGCAGTACTCCGTACACATCGCTAAGATCACATCCGAATCAACTCCACCTGCAATGCTCCGACATGCACGTCGTCGGTCTTGTTCGACTGTCAACAAGGGGCTCTCCTACCCAAAGATCCCGAAAGGTAACCCGAGACCAGAGTGGAAGACAGAGAAGCCAAGAAGCAGAGAAGAAGGGTAAAGCCCAACAATAAAATCAGTATCAAGAACACGTGGAGACAAGCATATGTACCTGGTCGCATCACGATTATCAAGGGTATAAAAAGATATGTCACGAGAAAGAAACGAGAAGAGAAAATATCTATTGTAACTGGTCAAGGCTCTGCAGAAAGTCAATTGAGAGAGAGCTTGCCCATGTCAACATCAACCTCGCCCGACTGGGCCTCGACAGCCTCAGGAGCTTCGACGACGGCCTCAGTAGGGGCCTCAGTAGATTGCTCAGCGGGAGCTTCGGGCTCGGTAGCTTCCTTGGTCTCGGGCACTTCAATGGCCGGCTCCTCCGCCGGCACGGGGACCTCAGCAACGGGCTCAGTCTCAGCAACCGCGGGAAGGTCAGTAGCAGCAACTTCAGCAACCGCGGGAGCATCTACTTCGGGAGCAGCCTTTGCGACGGGAGCAGCGGCTTCAGCTTCAGACTCAACAGATGTTTGAACAGGCTCTTGAACAGGCTCCTGAACAGGCTCCTTTGCGGGAGCTTTCTCGACAATCTCAGCAGGCTTCTCCAGAACGGCAGGGGCCTCAGAAACAACCTGGGCGGGCTCCTCAGCCTTCGCCTCAGGCGCAGGCTTCTCCAGCGGCTTGCCTTGCTCGACCTTGGTCGGACGGGAAGTACGGGTATCCAACTTGGAGGGAACTCGTCTAGGCGCCCGGGCCGGCTTGGTGGCCCGCGGGGGACTCTTGACCTCAACCTTGTCGTGCGTCTTACTAGCAGAGCTAGCAGTGGGGCGCATCATGCGAGCCAGAAATCCCTCGTCAACTGGTTTGGAGCTCGTGTTGCTGACACGAGAGTGAGGGCGTTCGTTCCCGGGGTTGCTGGGAGGGGAGGGACGAGACGACGGCTTGCGCACGGTGGAAGCGGTAGGAGTGATTGCGCGCTTCTGGGTTGCAGTAGTCGAGCTCTTCAGTGTGGACGGCTTGCGGGTCAGCGTAGACGTCGTCGTGGGCTTCTTGGCGGTAGACGAAGTGGAAGCCGTTGTCGAAGCCGGGCGAGTAGGATTGGCTGCGATAGCTTTGGCGGTGCGAGATGCGGTCGAGGCTGTCGGCTTCGTCAAGTCACGAGCAGGCATAGAGGGCCGTGCAGGTTTGGTGACGGGCTTCGTCGCAGTGTTCAAGGACGTCCGGCTCGGCTTGTGTGCGACTTTGGGGGCTTCGAGGGCCGCAGCCTTCGTGGCCGTCGGCCGGGTAGCCCGCGTGGTCCGAGAAGTCTTGTCCTCGGGTTTGGCAGGAGATGTGGGCGTACGGGGTTGCGCTGGCGACTTGGTAGCAGGCTTGGGTGCCGTCTTCCCCACCTGGATAGTGGATGGTCGCTTGGCGACTGTCTTGGTCGGGGTCGGCTTGGGGGAGGAGACATTGCTGGCCTTTACAGGAGAAGCTGGGACAGGAGCAGCAGCCGGAGCAGGGGGCTCCCCAGTGACCTCTTCTGAGGGCTTTTCGGGCTCTACCGGGGCAGGTTCGCTCTTCTCAGGCACATCATTCTGTGGCGTCTCCGAGGCCGCAACTGGCTGTTCGGTGATCTTCTGAGGGAAGCCGTTGCTGGTTGGTGACACAGACAACGGACTTCTCAAGCCACCCTCGAAATCCTCCGAATTGAAGCTCCTGACCCGGGACGGCGCAGCAGGGCTATCGCTGCGACCACTCACACTGCGAAGCCCTGCGACAGGGTTCGGCTGAGTGGCCCCATCGACAGCGATGAAGCTGGCGCGCACCTTGGACAAGGGTCTAGCAGAGGCGGAATGTTCGGAGCCAGCGGGAGATCGACCGCGGGAGGGAGGGGAAGTGGTGTTGCTCTGGTTGTTCTCGAACCTAGCAAGAAGGTTTCGCACACCAGGATGGCCGCCTGTCTCGTTCATGATGGCGGCTCGTTTGGGCGACAAGTGGCGGAAGCGGGAGGTCAGCAGAGGGTATTGATCGTGGCGGATGGGACTGGGGAGGGGAGAATCGGAGCTCGAGGGGTTGGTCAGAGAATCGACGGAGGTAGAGATGCGAAGAGGGGATTCAGCGCTTCGCACGGATGATGCGAAGGAATCGGAGGGCATTCACAAGATGAATGAACGCGTCCCAGAAAGAGGAGGGACGGGGTGACGTGAGATAAACAGTAGGCCCAATCTGTTAACAACACGCGGGAGGCAAACAGTGGTTCGGTAGTGGGGGGGAAACAAAGTCAATGCAGGTGAGACAATGCAACCGCGGTGGACACAACCATGGTGGACAAAGAGGGAATTGAGTGAGAGCTGTGATCAGGATGAATGAATGGCAGGGGGGATGGAGATGAGTAGGTGAGAGGAAGAGAGAGAGGAAAGCAAGAGAAAAGAGGGAGAAGGAGAAGAAGAAGAAGAAGTGAGAGAGTCACTTCCAACTAAAGAGAGAAAGTGGAGAGAGACAGCAACGAGGCCCCGACGCCTGAGGCAGCGGGTTCAGGGGTCGGATCCGCGGCTTCAAGTTGATGGCGCTCCGTCTCAGATTCGGTTCCTCGACGGTCTCTGCCTGGATGGCCTTACGTATTATTCAATAATCATGAACAAGAATAACTAATAATCCCTCTCTTTCTTTTGGTGGATGTGCTTCCCTCCCCCTGGCCTGATAGTCTCCGGCACTATTGACCTCCCCCCAGGGAATGACTCTCTTCCTTTCTTTTGCGATCGACGGAATAATCGGCACCAACTCCTTGCAAATGTTCATACACAGTCAATACTGATGATGGCTACTGCTGATCCTACTGCTGAGGTGGGATGAAACAGTCCTCTTACCAGCTGAAACCCCGTGCCTCTCTTTCTACTCACTCTCAACACAGCATAGCATCTGTTCAGTTGACTGTTGGTCATGATCACCATGGAGCCCCGACTGGCCGGGACTTTCCTGCAATCTCCTGCACTCCCCCGATCGTCTCCCTTCCCCCACGCCCCTAAAAGGCCAGCTTGCAGTTCCTTGCAAGTTGCGACACATTTTTAGCGAAACCTTGATCGTGCATCCCCCGATTGTCCCAAACCTTAGTTCACATGCTGGCCCCGATCTTGCATCCCCTTCCGGTGGCAAAAACCAGTTCCATCCCCGTCAGCCCGCAATGGTTGGTGCAATTACTGTGTAGCTAGTGGTGCTGTGTTCGTGGACAGGTTCCTGGATGACGCATTCCCTGGGAAACCCCTGGTGGATCAGGGATGGATTCGAGAGGATGCTAACGGCGACCAATTTCCCTCTAGTGCCATTCTAGTCCTTCTAGAGCATTCATGGAATAATCAAAAGGATGCTGTTAGCCTGTTAGTGCTTTCCTTTAATTACCCCGGTGGGTATGGATGCACTGACCTCCTCGCTCTCTCCCTTTTCCCTCGGACATGACACATGGCAGTAGTCCCAGCTGTGGTTCCCCCGCTGACTGCAGTCCCCATGGCACGGTTGTCACCCTGTCGTCAGAAATATTAACAATATTAACAATCAATCGATAGTACTTTGTATAGAGAAAAGGATTCCGCAGGGCCTGACGCAAACAAGGGAGACGGGGAAGCTGTGCCAGAATTCAGTAAAGATCAAAGCGCCCCCACCCGCGGGATGAACCTTATAACGCAGGGAGTCCGACTCAACCATGGAAACCCCAAGCTGCCATCAGACCGCTGCAACCACTGCCATTTTCCCACTAGATGCACTGATATCCGGAAATATATTCATCAATAGAAAGAAATTAAAGCAAGGTGCATGTTGGCCGCTGAGGCCCAGGCTTAAGCTATACGTAGTTAGTTCAGCTAGGCCTCCGTACTGCGTGACGCTGGTTCTAAGGCTGTCTCCCAAGCAATTTTCATTTGGATAAAGTATGCGGATGGAAGTCAAGAATGTAACCATGCTCCGAAGTGAGAATGATGCATTCAAGAAAACTTGGTTTTTCTACGTGAAGACGTATCATAATGCGAGCTTGCCTTATCGGCACCACCAGGAGTATCTGTCAATGCCTCTTGCTGACTTAGTTCGAGATCAAAGGCAACTGATCCAGGTGTGGTGGTACCATACGTACTTGCGGCATCTGCATATATGCAAGCAAGTGTTGGTTAAAAGTATCGTTGATGTGTCACAAAATCGAAGCATCTTTGAGAGTGGGACCTTACTAGTGTTGATCGAAGTAGACCTGATGAACTCTGGCACACCTTCAAGTTGGGTCACACGCTGTGATACCAATACTGGCCTCGTTCGCTATTACAGAAGCACAACAGATAACTATCAAATCATTTCCTTATGTCCAATGCTTGATGTACATGACCTAGTAGACTCTCCGAATAACATGCATAGCTAACCAAAATATATTGCAGACTTTTCCACGCACAGCGAACAACGTGCCAAAGTTCCCCGTGTACCAGACAGACTACAACAACTCGGCGGGATCAGAAGGCAGCGACTCTGGCAGGAGACCAGGATCTGCATCCTCCAGATCGTCGGTGAGTATTCCTACCCCGCTATCCAGGCGCTTACGATGCTTCCCCCGGCCAGCCTCCACGTCGACAAATCTTGTCATGCTGACCGGTGTGATGGGTTCGCTGCCGATATTCAGGCCATCTGATGACTGGATCTCGTCCGAACGCAGCTCCCAGTTCGCAGTGCGAACTCTGGCTTTCCGTCGCTCACTATTGACGGTCTCCTTCATGAAGGCAAACGACCGCGCTTGCTCTGCAGCCCATTTATCCAGCAGACTGTCCCTTGCTTCAACTTCCTGGCGCAGCTGCTCCTCCAAGCCAGTGTTACTACGGCGAAGTCGGTCAATATCTGACTTGGCTTCCGCCAGTGACGTGTTGAGCTCCGAGACGAGGACATTCATCGACCCCACTTCTTGTTCAAGGCGTTGCTGCTCCTCCTTTGCTTCTTGCTCCAAACTCTGTATCGTTTGCTGGCGCTCAGCCTCGAGTGACTCAATCTTGGTTGCGAGGTCACACACGCGGGTGCGATTCTGTTGAAGGTCCTCTTCTAACTCCCGGATACGAGTTTCCCGCTCCACAACGGTTGATTCGGTAGTACGAAGGGAACGGGCCTGCTCTTCCAGCTTTTGCTGTAGTTCGTCCACTTCCTGTTTGTGTGACTCGTTATTCTTCGCCTTGTCATCCTCCAATTCAGTAACCAGGGCCTCTAGTCCTTTGACTTCCTCGTGGTATTTGTCGAGAGCAGCATTCAGCCGCTGAATGCTGACAGCTTGTTCCTTTCCTTCGCGTTCAAGCTCCTGCATACGCATTCGTGTGTGAAGCATGTCTCCAGCGGATGAGGCAATAGACTCTTCCAGGTCTTGAATCTTCTTCGATGCACCTTCGTATCGAGCCAACAGAGTATCGAACTGACCTCTAATTGCGTTCTCCCGGCCTACGGAGCCTTGTAGTCGTTCCTGCTCGTCCCCAAGGCTCTTGACGAGCACCTCAACTCGCTTTACTAATGCACCAAGAGTTGCTTTGCCATCACTGAGGCTAGCATTAGCGGTCTCGCCGGGAACTGCTCGTTCGAGTTGGAGGCGTGCGGCGCGAAAGTGGTCACGCATTGTGGAGATAATTTCCTCAGCGTTATTCCCAGGAAATCCGAGACCCGACAATTCTTCCTTGACGTTGTCCAGTGCTTGAGCAGCGTCAGAAGCACGCCGCAGTGTCTGGGTCAGGGTAGGCAGGACTTGATCCAGGAAGTCCGGCGGTGGAGAGGACTGACGAAGGAGACCTTCAATTGCAGTTCCACCAAACGAAGCGACTCGGGCGCGACATGCGTCAAATAAGTCACGTTTCTCCTTCCTGGCAGCTGCGAGGTCAGCTGAAAGCGCAATGATCTCCGCCTCTTGCCTGTGGTCAGGTATGGATGCCTGAGTCGACGCATCGGTATTCGCATGTCCTTGGCTCAGAAGTGAAATGTTATCAGGCACTGAAAGTCGGGCATCTAAGGCCCGAATATCCGGCGAGTTTGATATAAGCATTGTATCACAATCCCATGCACTCTCATTGATCACCATTGTTTCTCCCTCGGAATTGCTGATGGTATCATGGTCTGTTGTGGCACCCGGCGAAGGGAACGAAAGCTGTTCCCTTAATCGGACATTCTCTGACAATACCTGTTCAATCATGGATTGTGGCGATAGCCATGTGGTTTCTTCGCTGGTTGCTAGACTCTTGGATACGTCTTGGTTTCTTTTGACCGAATCCAGTTCATTCTTCAACGAATCTCGTTCGCGTAGTAGCGACTGGAGTGTCTTCTCGTACTGGGCGGATTCTCTCTTCTCGCGCTCTAGATGGTTGATCTCATCACTTAGCCCAATCCGCCGAATTCTTCGTTTCGTGCGCGCGTCTAGAAGTTGTCGCAACGGGGTGAACTGCACTACATGCTCTGAGAAGGCTGTACTGGCAGCATCAGGAGCGTCCATACTGCGGCGAGACCGCGGAAGAGGGGTTGAGCGCCGCCGTTGGCCACGGCTTGGGCTCCGAATCAACGGGTCATCTTCTGCCCGTTCTTCGAAGGAAGACCGCAACATGGCCGGAGTAAGGCCTGTTGAGTGGGCAGAACCATGTTGCCGCCCAGGACCCGGGTCTGAGAAGCGAACCTTTTTACTCTGATGAGGGGTTTCGCAAGAGGTGGCGGAGGTAATATAGTACTCGGTTCGACGAGTTCTTCTGATCGAGACCGGGGTGGGAGGCTCTTGAGGCTCTTGAGGCTTTTGGCCGGATGAAGAGCTGTTTTGTCTCTTTCGTTTCGCCTGTCTCGTGTCCATGGCGATTGTGTATCGACCTGACTTGGGTGAGTCAAATGTCGCACGATCTCAGCCCCTGCTTTGTTTTTCTGGGGATGGGAAAGGTATGGTTGTGACACTTGGCTAAGACAACAATGATGCTATTGCGCCGTGAAACAGACCAATAGTTATATAGAGCAGTAGTAATAATGATGGTAGTTCGGAACAACAGTTGACGGCAATCACCACGGGACCTGGAGTATTGTGATTTTTCCCGAATAGGCAAGGGCCCATCGTGCCTTCCTGACGCGTTGAAGGACAGGGCCATTGCCCGATTGGGAACGCGTAAACAAACCCACCCTTGCGCCAGTCACCTGACTGCCCCCGCTGCCTTGCATTTCAGGCGCTGTACTGTGTTTTGTTAGTATTCCAAATCGTGATCAATCCAGGTTTATCGAGATATCCGGATATTGCCTCCTTCGTATGTAGTATGGAATAAGGAAAAGACAAGGAGTATTGTTTCTGTTGTGTGACCAGCCAATGAAAGACATTGTTTCCGTATCTTATCGCCATCCCCGTGACGAGCGCCAGATTGACGTTTTCCCCCTCAACTCACTTCTCTTACTGCCGGCTGCCCACCACCACAACTGGGAAGTCTCCTGCGAGCAGATGCGATCAAATGCAGAATCACCCAGCAACACCACCGCACACTGGTTATCCCGTGCTTTGCACAATGTTCGCAGGGATGCACCGCCCTTTACCTAGACTTTGGCTGGACAGCTCCGTTGATGAGGTGATCGAGGCGGCTGCAAGGGTGATGTCATGCGGGCGGCCAGCTGGACTTGCCTTCCCCTCGCTAATCCAGTGGAAGCTAACTTACTAGTATGCAGATCGTCAACCACTTGCTTCCTTGACTACTTTATCTCCCCTGCTCTTGTGCTCACGGCCAACTCAATTATTCCGAGCGCTATCTGGCAGATCATCTGCTGCTGCACCTGTCACCCTTGGCTTCTCGGCTTTCAGTCCATCCAGGAGACTCGTGATGACTGCTGCGCTTGTGAATCAGCCGGCCTGGGAGGAACGGAAACAGGCACCCGCGGAGATGGACGACGATCCCCAGACGTCTTTATCGGAAACAACTTCCAACAATGCCAGAGAAATCAGCGCTCCATTTTTAGAGCTTCCCCCTGAGCTAGTCCAGCAAATATTGTCATATTTATCGGCTCAAGATCTCGCTCGCCTGTCAACCACCTGCCGCACTTTCGCTGAGCATGCGACCAACGAGCTTTTGTGGGCCAATATCATCAACTCCAATCTTCCTGAGCCCATACACACACCAGGTGTCTTTGACTCCTTTCGCAGTCTCTACATCGCCCACCATCCTTGCTGGTTTATTCCTCGCAACAAAATCTGGTTTTCGGACACTGAGCACACGGGCAATTTAATCCTCGCCCGCTATGATCACCGACGGGGCGTCATAGAGGCTTACCGAGTCATTGCAGAACGTCGCTCGCACCAATTTCAACTTTGGGACTGGAACCCAGATGTTATTATCCAAACGTTCAATCCTAAAGTCAGTCTGTGGCTAGATGATCCAGTCCTGCTCCTTAAAAACCACCACGAGGGACGGCCGTTATATTTACGCGGTGAGACCCGCATGCCTATGCCCCTCGAGACGCAGCATGTCTTCAACTCGTTTTCGCTTTGTTCCATCCGAATGACATCTGATGTTGTGGCGAACAAACAATGGCCTCCAATAACCATTCCAACCAAACACCGCGTCTATCGCGGTGAAGTTGACCCGGAGTGGGAACACCACCCCCAACAGCTGGACAGAATTTCTGAGCATGCGTTTCGAATTAGAAGATGGGCACATTTCCGATTGGGCATGCCGATCTTCACCGCTGGCCGGAGCGAGACGCTGTCGACTTATGCTACACTTGACCCGGAGCTGTATACGCCCACGGACAAGAAACCATACCAAGGCATTTGGGTTGGAGACTACTCAGCACATGGATGTGAATTTCTGCTTTTCCTACAACGTGATCAAGGGGAAGGGCGATGCAGCCTTGAGGCTATCAAGCTCACTGGAGACCCTAACGTTCCTCGTGGCGAAATATCGTTCTCAGCAGACGACATTGGCCCAGGAGGATTTGTTCGCATTGCGGAGGAAGCTCTCTTTCAAGGAGCACGCATAGTAAGGAGCAAAGGCCATGTAGCGGGCCTCGGTTTTAGAGATGGTAAGTTTGATCGGAAAAGTGGCCGGACATCTCGCTTTGCAAACTAACCTGGTTCTTAGATACGTTTATCGCATCCCAACTCATTTTGATTTCGCCAGAGTGCGTGGCGCACTATTGGGAAACTATGGGCCATATCTCCTATTACCGTCGTCTGGACATCGATGCATTACTCCGGACATAGGTTTCGATGAATACATAGTACGAAATTTACGATTGAACGAATCACGTCACTCATTCCATACCCCACGGTGCTTCCAGAATATGACCCTGGCTCCTTTTTGGCGATTATGCTTTGACATGCGCGGACGCTTTTGACGTTAAACTTTCTAGCGAGCACACATGTGCTATGATAGACCCACACGGGCTTACATGGGACAACCAATCTTTCACTTTGGCGCATCTGTTATTGCGAGACCACACTCGCGGTCCAAAGGCGGGCTCTACGGAGGTTACCATATTGAAATGAACTGGACTCCTGAAACCGGATACTCTTGTATAACCTCATGGCTAGTCAGTGACCTGCACACGGTCACTGTAGTGGTGGATAAGAAAACACCGGAAGCAACCTCGATGGGTAGTCCGGGCCGTTGTTTGGCTAAACAGCGGAGAGCAGAGATACAGATGAGTTGTCCCTCCACAGGGAACCTATGTACAAACAGGCGTATCGAGGAGAGATGCGAATGTTCCAGAGGAGATTGCCATTGGAGCATAAATCAAGGTGTACAGCCAACGCAAAATACCCAACGCCATGACTTGCGCTACTCAAACATGAGCCGAAATGCCATCATCAATCATGAGCAACGATCCTTCGCAACTCCAGAATAATACCCCAGCCGCGACGGGATTGTTATCCTCCTTGTCTTATCCCGCCTTCTCTCCTCCAGCCAGAAACTCCCAGTTTCACCTTGTAGTGCATTCGCCCACCCCAGGCAAATCACATATAGATGCCCACCCCACAAGAGATCCATTCAATCCATTCGTAAGCCGACCGGCGACTCCGACACAGGAAAAGCGATGCGATCGGTGGTTGAGATGTAGTAGTAGTAGTAGATCTACCGCTTGCGCTCGAAGTAGCTAGTCGAACCCAACACAGCCACAGACTGATCCATCACCCACTCACCCACACCCAGGTAGTTGTCGATCCACTTCTTGAAGTCCTTGTTATCGGTGATTTTGTCGGAGTTGAGACTGGGGCTGTGAAATACCCCACGCGATTACCCCCAAGACGGGGGGATGAGCGCGGGATGAACTGATTAGTTTTCTGACCCTCGGGTAGAATGGATAATAGCGTAAGAAATGGGGCGTAGTATTTACGTTAATCCAGTCGAGCGCTTGACGCCAGCCAGGAAGGCCGAGACTAGATTGCGAAACAGGTCAGCTCCAAACCCCAACTTAAACAGAAGAAAAATAATAATAAGGGTACGTACTAAGAACCGCATCGAAAGCGTAGTGGCTAAGACGTCCGAGCTGAATACACACATGGATATATTAGTATATCCCATAATCTATACCCTATCTATCCCATATCCTCGTCTCTTCCGCAGGACAACCCGGCCGGGGACGGACGAGGTTTGGTTAGGTATGTGACATACCATGATGACGAGTAACTTCTGGGTGTGTGATAATGTGATAGGTAAATGATTTGCAGCAACAGACTATATCAATAGGAGGAGCGAGGGGTATGGGCGTGGAAGTTCTTGTCAGTGGGAATAGAAAAAAGAAAGATAGGTAGGTAGGTAGCAGCAGGTCACCCCACGGAGAGTCATCGAGGTAGAGGGTTCACGTGGCTTTCACATGACGTGGGCGACTGACTGGACGAGGCGGTGAGCGAGGCTGGGGTGGTCATTTAGGTGGCTGGGTTTGAGGAGAGGGGGAGTTGTGTGGCTGGTGTGGTTAGTGAGCTGGAGCTGGTTAGTAAGTACTCCGTAGTACGGAGTAGGTACTAAGTCTCGGCAGGTAGGCAGTTAGCCGAGCGGCCACTTGTCTGTGGTGTGTTTGTTACAGCTCATAAAGTACAGAGTCCGGAGGGGCAGTGTCTATATATTACTTAGTTATTTCATCACTTAATAGATAATGCTACACCGTAATGACTTTAGAGATAGGATGAATCATAAATACCCACACTCCCTCCCATTCAGTTTCCAATGCCTCAACAACTAAATCAACTCAACCCAAAAAGCAAATACTAACAAACATCACACTGAATAGATCAGCATGCATACATCCATCCATTTTCCGAAGTCCGAAACCATTTTCCTCAATCCAAGCCAAGCGAAACTGAACTATGCTACTCCGTCGGAGCAGTACGCAATCACAGCACCGCCAAGTCGGCAGTACTTTGTCAATAGCTAGGCGGGTGGATGAGGATGATATGTAGGATGAAACAACTACCGAAAAGGGAATGAAGATGACTGGGCTTGGCTCTGCATACTAACATACTAAGTATGTATCTGCTATGGAGAATATGTGTGCTAACTATAGTTATCTCTATAAGAGGAAGTGTGCCGAGCCGACGGCGGGCTAGGTACTTACGGAGTGGAATGGCCTAGCATGCATATTGCAGATTATCCAGATTCACCGGGGGCTGAGTCGGGACGGGTATACATACATTCATAATAGCAGGTGCTAAGTGTTGATCGGTATCCGTGATTGTAAGTAGAAGGTACTTGTGTGGTGGTGAGTGAGGATATGGGTTCAGTAGGTAGTGCGTACTTCTCTACTACTTACTATCTATCTACCTTGTGGGTGTCCAATCACGGAAAATAAGAATATCAATAGAACGACCATACCATTGTTCTGGATGTTTTATGTTTACTCACTCAAGTAAGTAAGTATTAGCCATAATGAGCCAAGAGAGACTAAGTTTCAGTTCGGATATATGTGGTTAAGGTGCTGCTATTACTATCTCTCTCTCATCCTGACCTACCTAACTATCTATCTTCCAAGTGAAGGCAGCGGCACATTCGGAGTTAAAAACCTCCAAATGGAAGAGAAAACCTCCGAGTACTTACTTAGGGTCCCTGTCTACTGACCAGAGTCTCGTCCTCATTACTATGATTAATTACCCACTGGACAAAAAAATAAAATAAAATAAAAATAAAAAGGGAGACAGCTTCTCCATAACTGGCAACTGGGTCCGTCCGAGCAGAGCAAAATTCAGCCTTATGGGTTCCGATGGAGTCAGGGAAATAGTTCTTGCGAAGGGCATTGGGCTTTTTTGCGAGGAGAAAATTCAGCACCGACAAAGCATCCAAATCCACCTCGCTAGGAGAGAATGGATCCGCGACGATGTGGGGTCAACTGGACAGAGTGAGAGGGTATCATGTGGTCCTGCCAGATACTTCGCAGAATGTTGTGTGGGTGTCTGATTGTGGCTTGGGCGTGAATTGCTTTTGGTCTTCCCAACCAATTATTATTGCATGCGGCGTATGAATGCCTGAGATGCGCGGAGGGAAGGTGCCTGAGGATGTAGTGGACAAATGCTGCTGATCGCTGGGCGGAAACCCTTGGCTGACCAGTGAAAAGAGCGGACGGAGGCAGCAGGTGTATCTACGATCAAAGAATAGTAGCAAAGCAGTGAAAGGTGGATCACCCAGCAAATAATTGAGTTTTGATACCCAGCGATAGTGCCGGGGGGGAGAAAAAGTCATTAATAATGGGAATTATGTAGGCGATGGGAAGTGTGATTGTAACTACTCCGTAGCTGGAGGCACAACTAACAAGCCAGCTCTCAACCCGCGGGGAACCGACCGACAGAAAAAAGCGTCCCAAAGCAGGAATCCCACCAAAAAGGGCCGATCCAGCCAATCACCGCCGCCAACATTTTTCCTTCCCGGGCACCCCTCCTCTAGTCCACCATCTCTCTCTTCTCTCGCTCACCGGCCCCGTCTTTTCCTTCCCTATTATCTCTCCCTCTTCTCCTCCCTTCTCTCCCTCCATTCTTTCTCCCATCTTCATCAATCCCTTCTCTTCTGTCTTCCCCCCCGGTTCAGTAGAGATCAATCATCCGTCAAGATGGCCGCCAGCTCTTCCCTCGACCACCTGAGCAACCGCATGAAGTTGGAGTGGCACTCCAAGCTCAACACTGAGATGGTGCCCTCCAAGAACTTCCGCCGCACCTCCATCATCGGAACCATCGGTACGTTCCTGCCAGTTGTGTCGTTGCGATTGCCATCTCTTGATGAGGACCTCGCACCCCGCACTTGACCTCATCCGAGCTAACCTGCGATTTTTCTTCAGGCCCCAAGACCAACTCCGTGGAGAAGATCAACTCTCTCCGCACTGGTACGAGCGATAAAACATATAACTCTGGGAGTTATCAATCAGCTGACTAGCTTGCAGCCGGTCTTAACGTTGTTCGCATGAACTTCTCCCACGGTTCTTATGAGGTAAGAAGGGAACCCATCCGTGCATTGGCACATGACGATATGCTGACCCGCCCAGTACCACCAATCTGTTATCGACAACGCCCGCGAGGCCGCCAAGACCCAGGTCGGACGTCCTCTCGCCATTGCTCTTGATACCGTAAGTTCGGGTCCCTTGGCTGGTCGCGATCCTCCAAATTAACTCCTCTGTAGAAAGGACCCGAGATCCGTACCGGAAACACCCCCGATGATAAGGATATCCCTATCAAGCAGGGCCACGAGCTCAACATCACCACCGACGAGCAATATGCCACCGCCTCCGACGACAAGAACATGTAAGATTCCTCCCCGCGTCCTTCCGATCTTGCCAGTGGATCGGGAGACCAGCGCAGATGTGTCTGTGCATAGACTCCGCTGACAAGTCGGATTGTAGGTACCTCGACTACAAGAACATCACCAAGGTGATCTCTCCTGGCAAGCTCATCTATGTTGATGACGGTATCCTTTCCTTCGAGGTCCTCGAAGTCGTAGATGACAAGACCATCCGCGTCCGGTGCTTGAACAACGGCAACATCTCTTCCCGCAAGGGTGTTAACTTGCCCGGCACTGACGTTGACCTCCCCGCCCTTTCCGAGAAGGACATTGCCGATCTCAAGTTCGGTGTTAGGAACAAGGTCGACATGGTCTTCGCTTCTTTCATCCGCCGCGGTAGCGACATTCGCCACATCCGTGAGGTTCTGGGTGAGGAGGGCAAGGAGATCCAGATCATTGCCAAGATTGAGAACCAGCAGGGTGTCAACAACTTCGACGAGATCCT